CAACCCATATTTCTGATTTACTGGTAAATTCGAAAAGCTACTCACTCACATCAAAATCACTATTTAACTGTTTAAAATTTGGCGGCCTAAGAGCCTTCAATTCCCGTTCTCCATTACGCCATATTCGAGGATTTAGAGCAGATGATGCCCATATCCATCCCCATGCACATGTCAGTGCCTGGGAATTTTCCTCTCCGTAAGTTTCAAACTCATGACTAGGTTATCCTCTACAGCATCTCCCACCTGCATTGTGTCTCCTTCTTTGAGACCCTGTGTCTGATTTAAGTCATAAGCGCTGTTGTTAAAATGCACCCCTTCCCTTTTCTCTCTTGAATCGCGAAAAGCACACTTCTCTTGTCTAACAAGTTGAAATTCCCATATAATTCTAGGGTACTGGGATGATGTTACTGCATGTGTGTGTGTGTTGGCTTGTATCCCCCGAAGTCAAGCCTGTCATCAGTCGCCCCCCTTTCAGGCACAGATACGAAAAATGGGTTTAAAGCCTAGACGGAGGAGGGTTCCCCAGGCACTGGCATGTCTATGGACATGGACATCAGCTGCTCTAAATACCCTAATATGGCGTAATCGAGAACGGGAATTAAAGGAATTAGACAGCCAGATTTCAGACAGCCACAGTGATTTTTATGTTAAGCAGCGGCCAAGTGACAAGCGGGTAGCAAAAAAGGGGGGAGAATGTAGGTAAGGAGCCCTGCAAACGGCATCTGATACTGGTGGTGGAGATGATTACGTTTAACTAAACCCACTTGTAGTGACACGTTCTTAGGCGACATTGGAGGAAGAAAGAGCACAGAATTTTATGAATAAGTGGATGAGCCGTATGAAGTGTGAATGAAAGAAAGAGATGCGGTACTAGAAGTTAGAACTAAAAATTGGGGCGAGGAGTGATGACACAACGGTTGAACAGAAAAATGATCAAGGGGGTTGCTTTTACTTGTCACTTTGATAAGTTGTAACTGTGCTTACACTGGCGCCTCTCACTGACGATGCCGACTACGGTGCCGGCTAAATATTTGGAGATTTACCCAGCTAATAGTCCAATGCTGGAAATCATGAGTACTATGGCCGAGGACATAGAACTAGGTACGTTCCACAACATCTCCCTGACGATCCGGTAAGTTGCGAAAACAAGGTCGAACCAAAACCATAAAGCTAAAGAAGACTGCGAACAAAAATAAGGCCACACCATCTTGGTCTTCATATCTACGAACAATGTTTGATTCATCAGAAACAATTTTCATTAAATGTCTATATTTTAAAATATATAAATGGAGACCAAAGTTAAATTACACAACAGAATTTACACAGAGTTATCACCTATTCAAGAATTCATCAAATAAAATTAATGCAGTCGTGAGATAAATCAATTTTAAGAATACCTTATTAATTTATAGAATCACATTCTAAGCAGAATTTGCATGTTCACAAAAATAATTGTTTATTCGGAATTAAAAAGAGTATCCTACCGGAACAAGCTGTTTGAGATATTCAAGCATAGTGCGAAGAAAATTCTTGGACTTTTCACGTTCAGAATTAAGCATCGCGTACCTTGAAGATATCTATAAAAAATATACTAGGTAAGATTCAAAGTGAAAGGAGTTATATATTGTCGCGATATTTATGCTTATAAAATAAATATGATTTTTACTAGTTTTTGACCTTGAAAACACAAAATTAAAAATGTATGTTATGATATAAGGTTCATGAGATAAACTTATTAAGCACTTACTTGCTCATATTGGCGCACCACGATGCCATCGAGAGTTCTTAACTCTAGCAACTCAGCCTGAGATTTCGAAAGATTCGAGGTCAATTCCTCAATCTTCTTTTCGCGATCTGTAAAAGAGAGCATAAATACACTAAGTCTATCAAACATGAAATGTTGATTAAACTGACGAATAGTATGACGATAATAAAACACTATAATTAAAAAATATACAAGCAAACTAGATATAACACAATAGTGTAGCAAAATTATACAATTAGATAGAAATATTAATG